GACTTCACAAGGATGCGACGCATTTGTGCTTGTACATTTTCAGCAAGCGCTACATTCCTTTTACTCACTGGCTGAGGGCTCCTGCAGAAGTGCACTGCAGACGTAGTCTCCGGCACGTATTTGTGGAACAGATGTTGCAGCTTTGCTGCACATGAGACAAAGGAGGCCTCCAGCTGAACCAGCACACACATGCAGCAGTGCAACGGGGCAGTGACAGCTACTTGTGCAACCAACCTGGCATTTGAGGTGGCCAGAACAGGCTGCCTACATTGTAGAGGGTGGGCAGCCCTAGATGGCATGTTGTTTTTGAAAGCCTTTTCTAAATACCAGCATGTCAGGATCAAACATCAGTAACATCTGGTCTACATGAGCTAAAATTACATCTAGAAACTAGGAGTAAAGGTGTAGTCAGCTTCTCCTCACATTTCCCCAAGAACTCTAAAGGTGAATTCTGGCAGGAATTTTTCCTAGAGATATCAGAGCTGTAGGAAACACAAAGCAGGCTATTTATCCTTTCAAAATCTCCCCAGGCATAATTCAGCCTGCCTATAGCACAGGATTAAAGTTGACTGAAAACAGTAACAACTACACAGATTCTGCAGGGAGAAAAAAAAACAGCCCATCAACTATAAAATCTTCCTCAAAATATCTTGAATAGACTGGGGAAAGAAAACTCTTCCAGGTTTCTCCTTCACAGGATTCCCTTCACACTTATATGAAGTAAGAATCTGGCGCCAGGAGGGGCATCACAGCAGCAGGAGACTATTACATCCCTACCAACATTACTGCACTGTGCCCCAACACAAGATTACTTTCTCTTCTGAGTGGGGAAAAGAGTATACCTTACCCCTCATGTCAGGCATTTTTTCCTTCCTGTCTTATCCTATCTCTAGCAGCTCAACAGAATCAGGATTTATTTTGTTTAAGCAACTTCTCTTTCCCTATTCCTCCTTCCCCCAAGACTGACGTGTCTGAGCAGCAGACCTTTCAGCTAGCCCTGGTCATCTGATAGACTACAGGACAGCTAAGCCCAGTGACTGAAAAACCTGGACTGCTTTTTTATGGGCAAACGCTCACTGAATCCATCAAAGCTGCAGGCAACAGTGGACGTGTGTATTCATATGCTTTCCTAAATCTGTTCCAAGCTGATGAACAGCCTAAATGGATTTTAAATTTTATAGCAAGCTTAGGCTACCACTTTGCATCTGCACTGGCTGCCATTCAGCCCAAGAAAAATTTAATACTTTACAGTGTGCTTCTGCTCAAAGGATAAAGCTATGCAGGCCTTCAGAAAAGACAAAAGCATTTACATTTTTTAAGGAGCATACTTTTGATTCCTTTGCTGTGATCCCAGTATTAACATTTTCAAAATTTACCTCTCAGAGGGCTATGAAAATAAGACTACAAAATGCTTCCTCACTATGCTAAAATCAGCCCTCCACAGCAATCAGGTGACAGGAACAGTATGCAGATGACCTTAAGACATTTCCCTGTATCATGTCATCAGTTTTGGGGTCTATCAGGCACTTTAAAGGTAAACAATATCACTAACATCAGGATAACTGTTTACAGCCCAGCTTTGTTATTGACCCCAGTTGTGCTCGTTAGCACAGTTTCTTTCAGTTTCTTTATTTAAAAGCAGAGGATGTGAATTACCAATACTATGCAAATCCTTTTTTTTTTTTAGCTACTCTGTGACTAGCTGCGCTTAAGGGTCAATTTTATCTATATTTAGACGATGAAACTTCTATTATACTTAATTATTTCTGTGTGGCTTGTATGATGAAGGTACTTACTAATGAATGGTGGCTTCTCGACAAAAATGCTGGCTTAGGGTATGCAGCTGAGATTTGAACCTTGACTGTGTAGTTGTGTGCCAGCCAGCAATGTTTCAATCAGTGTCACTGCTCCTGAACAGGGCAAGTTTGGAATTGTGCCCTGCCTGAGTCCCACGACTGAATCAATTCAACCTCCCTCCAACACTTTTTTTTTTTTTTTTTTTTTTAATTTCAAAACAAACATAGAAGAGATTCCACAAATTCAAACATTTCTTGTGGAGCAGATTTAAAAAGAATGTTTGAAATATACACACCAGAAAAGCAAAGAAGGGCCTGGAGGAATGCCACATCCCCCAGCGTGCAACAGACTGCATAAAACCTAATAGCACCATATGAAGATCCTCCTACATCTTATCCCCTACTTCTTTTTCTGCTGCTTCTGGCCTCCATCCCCAGCCAAATGTTCTTCTTTTCTCTTGGCCTGGACGCATGTACCAGCGTCTCTTCAGCCTCTCTTAGCATCTGCCCCTTGGAGGACTGCCTTTTGCCCCTTCCTCCCAAGGGAGGGCTCCACCTGGCCCCAACACTAGAGGCCTAAGTTCAGAGAGGCCCTGCTACCTTCACCAGCTGATTTTATTTTCAGTGGCACCATCTGTCTGCCTCCCTCCTTGATCACTTTTAGCCCAAGGACACTGACTCCTTTCCTTGGTCACACTGAGTAACACAGCATCCTCTCTTGGCTAGAGGCTGAGTTCTGACTCAATCCTTTCCACTCAGGTTGTACTGTGCAACTGAGAACAGTGGAAAGACACACAGTAATAATCACAGCAGGTTCATAATGACATAGCAGCACCAGAAAGGGCTTTGAATCAAGTGCCAGCACCAAGCATTTGTAGCAGCTCTGCTACACTGTAAGCTAGATTTGGATGGAAAAAATAACAGCTGAAACAGTCATTTGCAGAAAGTGTGATCATTATTTCTGTACACACATAAACACACACACACCCCAACATATCTGGTAAAGCAGCATATAATTGATGAAACTCAACTTTAGTTAAATGGTTCTTCTTAAAATAGTGCAGTGTCAGCAAGCTCTGGGGATTCTAGAAAGGGCTATATAGGCAGCCAAGCACTGCCTGACATTTTCCTCTACATGTATTCAACCTGTATTGCTTTCTAGGTTGTTACACTATTCTAAACAAAAATAAAAGGCACTTTCATATTAAACCTTGGAACTAATGAAAAATGTTTCACGCACTCAAGATTCCCCACAGCATCCTGCTACTATAATCCTTCCTGGTTTGCCCCACAAATTGCTTGTGACAGCCATCCCAGTGGTGAACTGCAAAATAAATTACTGCAGCTTAGCACTGAATTGTCTGGATGCACAAGGCAGCATTCAGATGGAAGAGGCAAATCAGGTGACTGATTTCACCGGCAGGACTTCCACCTCTTGCCCTTGTTAGGAGCTACCTCCAGAATGAAGTGGTTGTGGATCAGACACAGGCAACAGAGGGTCAGCAAGAATGTTTGTACCTCTGGGAAGCTCATGTTTGGAAACAAAAATTCTCACAAGTTGAACTGGCAAAGCTGACTTTAGATCCCCTTGAGAGCTTTTGCAACACGCAGCAATCACTTTGAACATTTCAGTGTTCCAAGAAGAATGCAAATATTGGCATCTCATTCACCAGGGAGAGCTTTGCCAGAGTACAAGGTCCTTCCCATTGCACTACCACACCACCAGCTCTTGATGAATTAAGAACGAACTGTGCAGCCAGCTTTGCGTATGCTGCTTCTGCTGGGACTGGCCTCCTCTGTGAGAACAACCTAATGGGAATGAAACTGCTGCTGCCAAAAGGCTTGTTGTGCTGAATTTCACACACACACAAAGAAAAAATATAATGATACTTGATAAAAAACTGGAATTTCTAATGAAAAATGCCTGGAAAAAAAAAAACAAAAACTAACAGTAAGGATCCCTAAGAAGAGAATAGCCAGGGCAAGAAGGAATAGCAACAGTGCCGTTTCAGAAAAGTACAAATAAAAAGTTATACTCACCCGATATTTACTTCAAAATCCTGTGAATACACATTTTCTGAAACTGAACGCAAAATGCAGTCCTACATCACTCCACAATAACAACACCTTTGGCTTGGTCAATGTTACGCACTCAGCCAGTTCCCCTGCTTGTTATTTAAGACATCCAGTAATCCTGCCTTTCTATTCCAAAGTGAAAGTTATCTGTGCCCATATAAACCATAAGTTAAGTATAGCCACTGTTTCTTTTGCTGCAGATAGGCACAAATCGCTTCACATATCCCAAAGTACCCAAAATGGCATAAAATGACTTGAGTCTGCCATTAGAAGTCAATACTACCAGCAACAGCAGTGAAACAGAAGGGATAAGGTTTATGCACCCTGTGAAAAATACTGGTCAGCCAGAACAATGTTGCTTGCATCAAGGCTTTAAACAATTGTATTCATGCAAGCAAAAAGGTAAACTCAAAGCAAATTAGATTTCAGCTAATTAAAAGTCCTCTTATTTGTTAAGCAGAAGTGGGAATAGGGTGTGTTATTGCCATAGGTTGTCTTGGACAGAAGACTTTTTTTCCTGAGGAAAAAACAAAGCAACTGTGCTTTTGAGGTCTCCATTTGTTATATTGAAGTGTGACTACAAGGAGCAGCGCATCATGTTTCCCTCACAAGACCAAGGTTGTAATAGCAAACAATTCAAAATACTTACATAGCCATGACCTAATAGCAATGCACGTCATGACACTAGCAATATAATTCAATGTTGAAGTGACAATAAGTAATTCTCAAGAATGTATCCAATACTTATTATGGGGTATATGGCTATATGCGTCTTACACTGGACAGCTTATGCAAAAAAAAAGAACATACTCGATTGATGGTTTTGGAGCATTTTTTTCCCCAAGATAAAATCTCAGGCATGTGTCATCTATCTTGCTCCTACTGAGCTAAGGAGGCTGACAGTGTGAAAGAGAAAACCTACTGTAGCTTCCATTTCATTTGACCTGTAAAGACAATCTGCATAACACCAGAGGATTCTACTGTTTCAGGAGAGTGACTATCAACTTCAGATTGTCATGAGCAGCATTTTCTACTGGTCACGCTCTAAAATATACCACCCCAATTTTGAAATGAAAGAAAACCCAGTATCCCCAAATTTATCAAAGACAGTTATATCGAGGAACATACCTTAGAGATGTTACTGGAGCGGCTCACAGAATGGCCCAAAGCTTTCTCATTCTGAAAGAGGAAGAAGAAGATCATTGCAGGAACACATTACAGTTATGAGGATATTTTAAACCTGGTATTAGTAACCAAGTATTATGGAGAAAGTCTTACAGCTGTGACTTTTACAGATGTTGCTTCTATTGACATCAGCTTGATTTGCCGCATTTACTAAGCTGTTTTGTTTGCTTAACAAGCTATTACGCTGCTGAAAATCAAATAGCCACGACAACTACAAACTGAGAAACACTAGAACAATGACCTCTTCTATCTGTACTGCAGAGCCCCTTCCCCAGATGCCACCTGATTTGGAAAGGATATTTTTCAGCCCTGCCTCATCGAGATCTAAAGGCAAACATCCAACCACTAAAACTGAAAGATCTTGCTTAATGAAAACATCCCAGTGATGTAAACAGAAGTATCCCAGTGGTGCCTGGAAACAATTCTGAATAACCACATGCATGTCATTTCAGGAGACGAAGCAGAACTACGGAGGAACTTCTTATCTGCCACAGAACTCAGAATTAAACTGGAAACATCATACAAGATGGAAATCAAAAGCCACAATTCTTAAAACTGAAGTCAGTGACGAACTTAACTGTTACTTTTCACTATGCAAGCCCTGACGGATAAGGATGACAAACATCTCCTACCAAAATAAACTACAGGTTTCACCAAAATATTTCATCCTTTATGGCTTCCTGCTTTCTGAACATCAATTTACCATCAGTGCAAATGGATGTGATTGTTCCACAGGTATGAACCTAGAAACTGATCTGCAAAGGCTTGTTGCTCGATTTTCTGAATAAAATCCAACAACAAAAACATTCTCCTAAAAATGTTACAGAGCCAGTCATAACATTTCATTACTGCTCTGTATCAATGCTTCTCTAATTCTGTGAAGCCGGGAGGAAAAGCTGTTTGAGACTTAAACCTCCTGAAACAGGGCACATTTACTACTTCCTCCTATGGGCTCTGTGCTGGCTAAGAGCTTCTAGAAGTGCACCCTTCCATCCGGTATTTCAGGAACCTAACAGAGATGCTTTGATAGCACCCTCTTCCAGTTCCCTCTGGCACCAACAGATCAGAGACTAAGAACAGAAGTCCTGCATACATAACAAACGGGGACATTTAAAAAAAAGGAAGCCAACTGCGCTTGCTTCTAGGTCAGCTCAGATAAAACGCACATGGTTTCAGATCTTATGCTTGTAATTTGTCACAATTCAAGTCACCTTCTGTGACCAAATCCTGCATCAAGCCTGCCTGGGTGGCTGGGCACCCAGATGCTACCCCCACACTTTGGCATCTCTGCACCCCCAGCCATTTCTCCTAACAGCACACTCCCTGAGCAGCTTGAGAACTCTGCGCCGAGAAAAAGCGAAAGCAAGGCAAAAATTTCTGCATATGCTTACAAAAGCAGGAAGGCTCCATCTTACAACACTGGTTGCCTCTCCGCACAGTCATGGACACTGCCTTGGTTGACAGATATAAATTGCACTTCCTCCTTTAAAAATTTGAGGAAGCAGTCAAGGTGTTCTGAAATCCTCTATCTGTAGGAGTATGAGTACCTAAAAGGCAGTGAAATACTCTTTCAGAAGAACAGAGAAGTGACAAATTTTGACTGATAGCCAAATCAAAAATCAGCAAGGACCGACGTAGGGTCTGGTGTAGCTGTGGCCTAAATTACCATTGACCTGAACGCCAGATCTGCATCCTGCAATGCTGAACTTGATTTGAGAGATGACTATGAGCTTTTATTATGTGGATATCAGTGTCCCTGGAACAGAAACAAACAGCTAAAGACCCCCCAAAGAATACAGACATGATGCTTCTGTGATGACTAACACTGGACTGGGCTCCTGCCAGAAGAAGCACGGCTAGGAACTGACTCCAACTGTAAGGGAAGGACCCAGCTAATTTCATCAAAGACACTGTAACTATAGCAACAGAAAAAAAAGTTCATTGAAGCTACAGAATGTAGGAGAAAGAAAGGGGGCAGGGATGTGTTCTCAAGCTATGACGACGAGAGAGCAACGCAAGTTGGCAAGCATGGAGATTTGTCACTGCCTGCGTGTGAGGTGCTGGGGGAAGCAGGCTGTGCTTGGCCTTGCAGGGATGTGTGGGAGGTAAACAAAGCTCAGCTATGTGGGACAAGAAGAAATGGTAGTGAAGAGTGAGACCTGCGGCCAAGAAGTCTCTGCCTGAAGCAACGCAGAGAGCCCTACGCAGATGACAGTCTGAAATCCAGCCCTAGACATCAAAGACTTGCAGGTGAAATTCCTGGAGACAAAATCAAACAGAGCCGAGCTCTTTGCATTAACTCAACACTCCCCAAATACTGCTACTAGCTGAAGAAAATGCCTGCAAGGGAGCACGGCTGAGCTTACACAGGCACCTGTGTTGAAAAGCATGTGCTAAAACTCAGTAACTCTGAAGAGGCTGGAGGACAAGAGCCGTATTTGCACAACACAGTGAGTGATGCAGAGCAAACACACTCTTAGCCGTGCCGCAGAAACTAGTCTTTCTGCTCTGCTCCCAGCACTATGATTTTATCTGATGGATGCCAGCAGTGTGAGAGAGAGATGCTTGTATCATCTTTATTGGTCTACTGTTGGCTATGTACCTATCAGAGGTCCCAGTCAGTACATGATTGGGAACAGCTGGTATTGTTATTGCATGTGTAATAATTTCTAAACAAAAAGTGGGCTTATAAAATATTCCTCTATACAGAGTGCACGTACACATATATCGGAGATATTTCTAAAGGACTCGGCTATGTAAATGCTTTTTTATGGTTCTGTTCCATTACCACATAAAACAGCTATGTCCATAAAGTCAACAGGAAATCACTGAAGTATTAGCCCAGACTGGACAAATTCTGTCCTCTTAAGGGCTACTTGTACTGGCAAAGAGGAGGAGCACCAAGTCAGGCATGTACTGAAGGAATGACAACTGACACAACAGCCACTACCAGATCCAACATGGATTTGCAAATACCCACACACAGTTTTTTCAGTTAGGTTGGCCTATCAGTGACCAAGTAACTCCCTCACCTGGTTAAAATTGCTTCAGCCTTCAGTCACCAATTAGCCCTGCCTTCTTCCACCTTCTAATCAGAGACATTTTTTTGAAACAGCTGCTCCAACTCTCCCAGTTTTCATGCACCCAGACTTTAAAATGCAGTGGGCTGAAAACAGATAAATAACTGAGTTTCATCGTGTAACAGCAATTTCCAGTTCACTATGACCACTCAAACAGCATCTCCACTGAATGCTCTTATTATTTTTCTTTCCAACTTCTGCAAAGAACCAAAAAGATTATTTTTAATAAAAAAACAGCAACAGAAACACCTCTAAGTAATATGTTTCATGAGGTCTAGCTATACCATTTAATTCTCTTTTACAAATAAAATAATAAAAATCTATCCTTAAGGAAAAAAAAAATACCGTGGAAGACATTACATAGAGACAGCACTTGATGGTGTTTTCCATGCTGCAGTACATTAAGGATAAGGTATACACTTTCCAGTCATTAAGCTAGAAAACAGCCAAAAAGCCATAGATGGAGCTTTTGCAATGGATGTATTTTAATGACAGGCACAATGCAAATAAACAAAAGCTCACTTTTCACACTATAACCATCACCAGTACATTCATCCTGGGATCTTTTAGATCATTCACAAATTAACATTGACTTAGGAGTTAAAAAGGCGAAGCCTCCATGACATTACTCCTCTCACTATTCAACAAATAAAGGTACTCAGAGACTATTTCCAATATGTTCTCATTGCACAGTAAGACACATTCCAGTGCAGTAATTACAGCTCCAAACAAGCTATCCTTCCTTCTTGCAAAAGCATTATTCTTTGCACTTGAATGGAAAGCTCAGGATGAACTCAGCATCTGCCAGCATGGACCACACAGTCATCACCACTTAAAGCAAGTGTGGTTCTCCTTAAACAGATCAGTCTTTCTGCATGGGATAATTGGAAACCTGCCTTTCAAAATTCATCCTACTCAAATAGAATTACCTGGCAGGCACTTAAAAAAAATTAATCGTCATCCAGATAGTAAAAGCTTGCAAGAATAGCAAAGACTTCTCACAAGTCGCTCACTGCCCCCTGCTGCTCTGAGGTCCCCATAAGAGCCAGGCTTTAGGGAAATAAAGAGGAAAGCAGGAGTGGAGGAAATGACTTACAAATAGAAGAACTGCTACCAGTTCCTACCGTGGCACGTTTTTCTAAGTTCTGGATGCAGTTGCTTGCCATTGCTTGAATTCCCCTCCCAACTTTCCTTTCTTTCTCTTCTCCTTGAATTCACTCGCTACTGTGGCAGCAGAGCTGTCTTATTCCTTCTACAGTTACTTCAGCTCACATCTGTTCCCCTGCAGGACCCTTCACCTTGCCTTCTCCACCTGGACAGCTCCTTTTCCCTCTGCCACCACTCCTCAGTTACTCTCGCATAAATGGCTTGCCCCTCTTCAGAGACCTCAAAGCTGCCACTCCCCTCCTATCCACCTGTCTCCCATACTTGTTACTTTAAGTTATTTTACCCTTGCTTCCCACCTATAATGCACCTGTTTTCCAATAAGAGCAACAGCTATGTAACTCACACAGCCACGCAAACCCCAAAGCACTTGTTCCTATTGCCTGAGCCAGGAGGGTTGTCCACTCCTTCACAGCAGTTGAAGCAGCCAGAGGTGCTCTCCTGCACTCACAACACCCATGTGTTACACCACCCTTTCTCCAAACTCAGCTGTAGACTCAATGCAGCCTTAGCAAGTGAGAAAAATGCTTTGGATGTCCCTTGCCAGGACAGAAAGAGAAAATGGTGAAATGGTTTGGATTTTGTGTTCCAAAACTACTCAGGACTGAGCTGCTGAATGACCCTTCCACAGTCAAGCTGCAAGTCATCCAAGAGTGAAACTCATTTCTTCTATCAAGCACCATGACAAGAGCATGAATGCTCAGCTGTTCTATAAGCACGCAGCCACACACACCCAGGTATTGTTTCAGG